CAGGGGACAACTAGTCCTAAGGTGACGGGTGTCTCCACAGACAAAACACCATCCTGTTTTCGAACGCTGCCCGGCAGGTCGGAGCTTCCCCCCCCCTCTTTCTCAGCATAGCTGAGATCCATTGGCTTAGGCTCGCTCAGCGAGATTGTAGAGTGTGGATTCCAGCCAAGTCGTGCCGACCTAAAATTATATTCAACATTTAATGCCACATTCATCGCTTCTTCGAAAGAAGACGGATGCACACGGAAAACTTCCATTCTGGTCACGACAGTGCGGAGGCCCTCCATGAAGACGGTCACCGCGACTGCCTCGGGAAGAGGATCGGCTGCCGTGTCGGGTGGCAAGGAAACGCGATCGCACGCGATATGCCTGGTTAGGTGGCGAGAACACTCGCAAACAGCTGCAGCTTCAGCTCTGTCCAGGAGGAAAATGCCGCTTCAACCAAAATGTCCCACGTCATGGCCCATTCTCGCGCTCGACCACCGAGCTTGAAGATAGCTACCCCCACGCGCGTTTGTTCAATCTGGAGCATGGTGGACGCCATATCCATCTCGACCTCTCTTACCCAGAGCAGGATATTCTCTCCATCTTTGCCCTCGAAGATCTTAACGCTCACCATGAGCGGGTTGGGTCGGTGGGAGTCATCCGTCGCGGACGGTGGCGTCATGGACGCAGTCGACACCGGCATCTTTTGCTGTAGGTGCTCTAGCAGAGCGTTTTCAGAGCTCGAAAGCGCCTAAAGGCGCGCGCTTATTAGTTCAGGCCCTTGCGAAGCAAGGTGTTGCACGCCATCAGGGCCAAGCAGAGACATCAGTTATTTTAAGCCCGTCCTGCATGCCCTGGGGCAAATAAGAGAATTGCTCCATCCTCACAGCGAATCCTTCGAAACGACTTATGTGTACATTATCTACAAGTGCTACCAAGTGCAGCGGGGCGTAGCTCTTTGCTTAGAGAAATCTAAGGTTACCGACCTACGTTCTATACTTGAACCAGTATAGGCGTAGCAGATCGCAATCCGCTACCTCCAAGAGTACCCGCGACCTTGACCCAAGGCAAATATACACTTTCGCTCAGAGTACAAACTGTATTTATCTGTTTTCTTTGCGCTACAGCCGCCTATATCTAAATGTATAAGCTTTTTAAATAATAAAACCAAAATAATATGCATAACTAGTGGCACCCCGCCTCGGAGTGGCTTCTTGTTTCGGCGTAGCCACACCATTGTGTGACTATACCGTCTTGTGTAATCCACACCTTTGTACGGCCACGCCATCTCGTGTGACCCACCCTTTCATACCAGCGTGCGTGTAACCCCGTTAGAGGTCAAGTATGAACCAAGAGGTATATTAAGCAGTTGACTACATTACAATGCGGTACCATCTCTATGGTCGTCTCGAGCTTGCAATTAATTACCGCATGGCCTTGATCAGCTTGAGTCCTAAGTTGTGCGGTGTCTTGACATAGTGCTCTTCTTATACCAAATTGTTTCGGTAAATCATCGCGAGTTTGCTTCGACACACTGACATCGCTACCAACCGACAAATTCAATCGATTTTCATGCTAAAAAAGTACTGAAGCCGTAATGCTGAATCTCTTTCAGTATGCCTTCTTCGTTGAATTTACAGCAGCCCATCGCTGTTGCTTACAAGGGTCATATCGGCGACATTGAGATTAGCAAAGATCATATCTTAGTAGTATCTCCTGACGCAGATGTTGTGATCAGCCACGCATATCACTCTCGACAGATGATCTGTTGAATACGCTGCTCCGAGCATAACTGTTATGAAACCTAATTAGCCTAGAGTCAAGCAGACAGAACTGGCCGGTCTAGTTCATACAGACCCAGTTACTTGGACAAAATGCTATCAACTTGTCGAGTCATGATAACGGTATCACAACAATATCCTGCTGCATCAGTTCTCACAATAAATGGAGTATTGTCATTCGGCAATTAGGGTACTGGTGCTTTTGCAGCGCCAATTTGATCATCAAAACGCTTTCTCTTGCTCTTTTCCCAATCTCAATGTCGTTGTTTCTTTCACCAACTACTCAATGGTAATGCAAGTTCGGCATAGTCTGCAGTTATTCTCCTGTAGTACCTCGCCAGTTCAAGCAAAGTCGGTATTTCTTGCGACACGTTGATTATGATCATCTTTCTATGGCTTGAGTCTTCGTTGCGTCAGCATGAAAGTTTTTTTTCTGATAACGTGCGTCTAAAATGGCAACTTTATATACGCCTAAGTCAAATTGTGGTTCTTGCTCGCAATATCTCTCTCAAAGACTAGGCGAAAAGGAGTAACATGCTGGACGTACTTATCCATGGTCTTTGAGGAAATGCAGATACATTCATGTGCACGACCACATAGTCAAACCTGTTGGATGTCGAATACACATCTTATCATACGTGACGATACAATTGGCATTCCAGTTAAGCCCATCGGTGGACGCACCATTCGTTCAGCTCACGATGCCTATCAAACGCTGTTCTATATTGCCCCAGGAATAACCAGCACCTGCTGATAGCCTTGGTCAATCTTAGTAAAACCTTAGCAGCCGTGTATCTGATCGAATAAATCTTCGACCTTTGGAGAGAACTTTTTGTTTTTTTCTTTGTCGGATAAACTTCGATAGTCGAGCGCCCATCAATTGGTGTGTCCGCATAGCTGTCTTAGATCATTCTGCTTGGAACGGCATACGTCCTCCTTTGCCCTTTTAATATTCCAAAGATATCGACACCGTGTTTTAGAGTGATTGGTTGTAACGTTGCCTATCAAACAACCAATCTTATCTATTAATTCACTTCGCCGATACGACAGCATAGTAAATGTGTTTTAATATACGCTTTTGAAGTTTTTCATGATTATGTTGTACAGGCGTTGAGCGACACTTTTCGTTGAGTCTTTCTCAAACTTTCTCAATGACGCCTGCTCTACCATAAAAAATTATGATTGTGCTGTGCTCCGTCATGTTTCATGACTAAAGCGATTAAACACACTTCGGCGGCAGAATATTCGGAATCTCGATTGAAAACTCTGCGAAAAGCTTCTCAAGTGCTCTGCAATGCTCTGCTTAACTTTAGAGACTATAGCGATCGTATCCATCCATGCTTGCACGTATCGTGTTCGTCTTGATCCAACACTCTATAAAATTTATTCAACCTTTAGTTTATCGTTGTATCAAACTGGTGAAATCATGGCTTCCTTAATATGACAACATGTTAGTTTCTGCCAAATTTCATTCAGTCATAACCACCTCTTTACTAAACATTCGGTGCGCTGCATCTTATCAAGTTGCCATCAATGCCTTCCGCCTGAACTCTTTTCGTCCTTATGACATTCTCGCCAGTTCTTGGCCGACAAATAATGTTTGTGGCTTTGCTATCAGTCATCATTAGCTCGCTCTACTTTTTCATTATGCGTTTTGTATCCATAAGCGTAATTGACGTCTTTTTCGTTCATTCCACCTCATCACAGGCATTGCTCATCCCAAATACCTCGACATCTTCGCTTCCGTCTTCTTCATTTCTATTATTTTTGCTCTCCTTGTTTTGCTTTTTCATCTCAATGTAGATCTGCTTCAGTCGGTCTCACATTTGTTGTCGTTTTGGTTCCCGAGTTCCCTTTTTGATTGTCACCATAGCTGCGTACATTGAGCAGCATAATGTATCCGTGTTCCACAGTTATAGCACGCCATGCTTTGTCTGCTGCTATTATTCATTTGAGAATTATTTCTTCGTCGCATCCTCATGTTGCCGACATCTATTCTGTTATTTCTTTGTCTCCGATTCTATTCTACTTATGAAATCCAATAAAGAACTCAACGCTCCTCCAGACATTCGTGCTTTGTGTAGTCCTGGTTACGGTATCGCATATCTGGTCTGTACTTCTTGTCTAGTACGTACTTGGCTAAACAACGTGATGTTGTCACGCTACGATATGTCTGCGATTTTACATGCATACGCGTCTAGAATGTTTAATGCAGCTCAACAAGTCTTTGCCACTTTTATATTCAAAAATAAACAATCAATCTTCCAATCGATATGGAAAATTTGCAGGCTCAACTATTTGTCTGACCTCGTGTTCAAGCTCCATAAGCGCTTCTGTTCATCGAACACGTTTTTGCTGCCATATAGCAGCAACTCCTTTTGGATTTTCAACCGCCATTGCCAAGCATCGTTACACCATTTTTTCTTGGATTAGAATTCTCTATTTTGAAAGAGGGATTGACTTGATAATGTACAATATATTCTCTCTTTCCATCCATACGGCTTTGGCTTCAAAAAACCTTCGCTCTTCCTGCTATTGGGCTTTCGGCTACTGCTGCTGTATCACCGTTCGACCGTTTAACGGATTTGCCTGGGTCTTTACCAAAAGTTGAATAAATAGCGTCGATCATGTATTTATGGCCCTCAAAATCTCCTTATGCAGGACAATCACTGCCAAAGATCTGAGGGTCCCGTAGGCCACAAGTTCAAATCATAATGACAGGAAAGAAAGAGTACAACAGCTGGAAAACCATATAGCAGAGGCTCCGGCTTGACCAACTGGTGCTACCAAATGTAACAGGACCGACTGCCTATTACTTGCTTGCGCTTAATCTGCAAGGAAATGATTTGGGGGTTGCTGAGAAAAAAGTGTATAAATAACTATGAAAGCAACTGCATACAAACTCTATCATTTTACTGTTCTTGGTGAAACATTATTATTATTTAGTAAAATGTTCTACTGTATGATCAATTTTATGCATAGATATAAGACATCATCAATTTGACGCTGCATTTATGGTTTGAAAATTTCTCACGTGCATGCTACCAGGTTCACCAGCCGGGCTGTGTGCCGCTTCCGCTAACAAATTTCATTCGCTCTAGACTCCGTAATCGCATTGTGAAACATAATGATTAAAAGGTCAGCAAGAAGCATTTGCTGACTGTAGTGATGAGTTGGAGTCTGCGGTGAGGGCTGCAAGAGCGCAGAACGTAATCAAATGTTGCAAATCCAGAACGCTGATTGGCCATGAAGTCGAAGAATGAGAACAGGTCAGACACCCGAGTGATGTTCATAGGTCCAATAGATCATACTTCTTGGTCTCTGACGGATGTTATAAAGACTGGTCTGCTATTTCAAAAATCATTTTTATTGAAGTAACTTTATCCAAACTAATACTTAATTCAAACGTTTTACCTTTTCTAAAATTAAAATTTTATTTTACGTACGGCTAGCAGCTCATGTCCCAGACTTTTGAATAGTTTTAATTACTGTGATTTTGAATCACTGTACCGTGTTTTAATATTTGATGGTACCAAATCTGTAAGGTCTCTCTTAGTTGTGGACCACACAGAAGTTCACACTTACTTTGTCTTCTCACAACACTGGACGTGACCGCTTCAAGTTTAACCATTGTAGCGTAGATTGCAGCTACATTCTGCACTTTTTCGTGTCTACACTTACTAACGTCGTATACCTGGAAGTCCGATCCCAAGCTTCATTTTTAAAGGCGCAACAAATCCAATCGAATCTCATAACCGACGCACTTAATCGACTTTTTGACGAGAAATGCCGAGATGTTCTGCAATGAAAAAGCCTCAGTAACTCTCCAAGTCCCGACCAAACACCGTCGCTCTCATCAGTACATGTACAGCCTAACCGTACCTAGAGGCGAAAGCGCTCATCGCTCCCCGCTGATGCAGGATTCCTAACGTCCGCGCCCTTTTCCATCGTTGGGAAATTCTTCAGCACCCCTGCTGTAGAGTTCACAGTGATGATCAGCTCGCTACCGACGAATCATATCCAGATCAAGGAGCCCAACTTTCTTCACTGCAGCCACTTGAGTCTCACCGACGTTTGCCCAAATCACGTTGTGATTACGGTTTTAAATAATCTAAAGTCTCACGCAGCTGGTGCGAAGTTTCTTCGCTCCTTCGTGTGAAGATATTCCCTTCAAACACTTAGCATAATGAGCGTGAAAAATCCGCCCCGCGCGCAATTTCTTAAAACACGGTCATAAGTTCCCATGAGTATTGTCTGCGCTTAGAGCAGTAGCGGTTGGAGAAATCCAAGGGGTTCATCGTTGGTACTAGAAGCTCATAATATTTCCGCTGAGTATATGACTCAGTGTGCACATTATGTGAGACAAACACACCGTCTGACCCACCCCAGGCTTTGTAAGCCAAATTCAAGACAACGACGTCCATCTTGACCGTTTTCTCATGCCTGACTCTCCAAAGTTCAAAACGTGACTTGGGCGTCAAGGTGACCACCCATCATCTAAAAATTCTGCTACTTGCTGCCCGCTCGTCTGCATGATATAGCTGCAACAGCTACCGACAAAGGGTATGTTCCACTGCAAGGTCAGTAGCCCGCCGCTTTTGGGGTCACGCTGCGACAAGTGATCTTGTCTTGTAAAGGCTGAGGTTGCACCAGGTCGTAAGCAGTCATTGCAAGAGGGCATCTTTTCGAATTGAATGCTCAAGTACCCGCGCATTCGTAATTTGAAAGTAACCTTTCACTCTACCAGATACTTGTCGAAACACTGGTGCAAACGCCGGTCCACCAAACGTTATACGTTAATGTGGGCCACCCCTTGCTGATCGAGCTGTTACGATGGAAATCGACTTTCTCGCGGCTGGCAATTGGTAGTGATGACACATAATTTTTTTCAGAGAGTCAATACGCGTGTCAGAGGCTGAGACGAGCCAGAAATTTGGATTTTCTCTCCGAGCTGTGTCATTTCACCGCCTGACTTTTGGAGTAGACCAAGCAGTTCAAAAAGGGGATTGTACTCCAGCTACAGAAGGTGTTGCATCGTCTGCAACAGAGCAATTAACAAAACCGTGGTATGGATTTAGTAACTTCACATAGAATTTTGGGCGTGTTCGCATCAGCCTTAGGATATTCCGCGTATAACTCAATCCTCTTTTCGTTACCACTGCGGACGATCCGATGTAGCGCGGTCGCAACTTGGTCTTACAGACTGCATATTTGGGTGGCTTTATAGCATTTAGTCGAACCTTTCGCTTCACAATATATATTGTGCTTTCCGCCTGCTTCTGGCATTGAATTGTTGCGTCGTTTGTCTTGGTGCGCTCGGTCGTAGTGACTGCGCACCTTGCACATTACTACGTCATGGAAGGTTCAGACTCGAAAACCGGATCCTTTTGGTGAGGTGAGACATGCAGGCCTAAGAGATGGCGATGGAATATTAGATGCCATAATTGTCATCAACAAATGTTTTTGTTCTGGCCATAAACAAAAACTTTAAAGTCTCAACCCCAGCCTGGTTGCGAGGATAATGTAGACATTTTCCGTGGCGGATCATCCATTAGATCACCCCAATTTGCTCTTCTGGCCATGGTCCTGGCTATAGGGGCATCTATAAAACCGATCACTCCTTTCCAGAAGCAACATGAATTTGAGTATACCTTTGAAGTCTACACGAAGCATGCAAACGTCCACAACTTTATCGTCAGCACCACAAAGGTCAATATCCGATGCTGCGGGAATATAATCAATCTCGTCGATAGCGAAGAAAAATAATATTTCACAATAAAGTATGTGCCTTTATTATTCAAAGTGCTGAACATCTTAAATTCCAGATTCCAGATCCAACCAAATCGCCAACATGTTTTTTGGAAGACGACGAGGAAGATCTGAACCCACTACCAAAACGAATGTTTTGAATTGAATGCAAAGGTACTCTGACAGATCATGCAATGTCACAATTAAAGCCATTGCAATTTCATCTTGCAATCGATCATTTATCAGTCGGACTGTCTTTCTTCCGTCAAACCGCTCGCGTCATCCAAAGCCATCGCAATTGCACGAAGAATGCCACCATTTGGTAGGCCAATTTGCCCGGATGTTTGTCGGCGTGAATCTGAACACAATATTTGACAGGTCGCTGACAATAATACATGGCGTTTCTCGATTGCTGCTAACTGCAGCAAACACTTCAAAGTGTCTTTCATGTATGCTTGCATTCGAGTGTGCGTCTTCTTAAATGTACTACATAGCCTACACCTTGTTGCTGTCTTTATCTCCAATGAACACACATCTGAAAAACTAATTCAATCACATCGCTCGATTGCTGTATGTTCTGCTTATCGACTGGCGAGACAAATCGATCCCCGCAATTCTGTGGGGTAAACACAACGACTTGGCAACATTCATCAAATCAATCACAAAGAGCTGAAGCATGTGCAGTTTTATAAAGTCGCGCATGTACTCTCAGTGCACTACCGAGATGAAGAGTTAGTGTCTGAAAGATACGACTTGATGGTTTGCGTTTGGAGGCACGTTTCAGTGGAAGGTGATCAGACGATTGCTACTGATGAATCACTTTCAGTTTTAACTATCATGTCTGCATCCTGGTGGATAACAGCTGCTGCAGTGTGCCCGTTATATGAAACATAAATTATTGTCATGATCACACTGTGATCTCCAGAGTTGGTGATTTCCAACAACGAACCGCGATTCGCAACCTTAATCTGACTGACAACTTTGATACAAAGATGGTTGCTTTCGGCATTTTGTTGCTGCCAGGCCAGTATCTCATTATGGGCATGTTCTGGTTGACCAAGACCACTGGTTGGAATACGTACGTACTAACAAATCACTCTCGAAAATTCGAGGCCGCAACCTTTACCAAACAGACGACCAGGAAATGCCTTATAGGGCAGGCTGCTAATTGCTGTGCGATTTAAGTCTATTCTTGTATTTCAAAGCTAAGAAATCTGACTCGTGTAGAGCCAACCCGCCGGCAAGCTTTTTGAGAACTGTCCTTTCATATCGTCCTAGGCATGATCAAACATCGTCGTATGGTTAGGATTGCTCTGGACCCAAGAAACTCTTGTCTAGTACAGACCAAGTCCTTTTAAAGTAAAGGTCATTTGCACATCCCAGGTGTGAATCTTGTGTGAATGTGAGATAATTACTCTCTTTTTATTAGCTACGTCATCGCTCAACGTTTTGTTGCATCAATTCGTGGACCATTCCAAGCCTCACAAAGGAATTCTCCCCTGACCAGCCAGCCACCATGCGATCATTTCCTCTTGCTCTTCTCTTCGCTTTTGCTGTTGTATCACGCGAAGCCCACGTTGATGACACTCATGATCGTGAACAAGTACGTGAGCTCACAAGCTTTAAAAGAGTCAACGACTCTAACGAGGAGAGATTTTTTCAAGGACTTGCTGATCTTAGCCTTGAAAGGATGGGTGGTATGGAGCTCAAAGTCTTGAGGAAATCCAAACCAGATTTCGAGACTACTTTCCTTAATCGCATCAAGTCAACAGTAAAAGGAGCAAAATCGCCTTTCGACCGTCGACGTTTAGGAAGCTATCACAGGAAAATGCTGGTGAGTTTTTCACGAAATCTGGTTATTACTTTGCGTTGTACCGATCCCTACGTAAAATCTACGATGACCTTACACTGGCAGAGCACATGCAGAACGCGATAACGACTTCTTCGTCATCCAAAGTCACTAGGATGTTCTTCAGAATGCTGATAAGGGACCTTCAAAGGAAAGGTTTTTCGTTAGCTCATCTTGTGAACGCGAGAAAGGCTGATTTTCACTCCATCAACTGGAATAGTCCTTCTTTCTCCGTATATGTCGTTCTCGTTCGTATCAAAGGGGGCGTATTGGCAGACTATCCTTATTTTGCCCTGCTGAAGGAGTTAGCACGAGACGGGCTTGGTGTGGGACAACTCATCGAAACAATTTACACTGGTAAACGTGCAGGAATCCCGGAGGTGCTTCGTCAGTCAATTCTCGATGATTTGATGCGTCTATGGAAGAAAAAGAAAACAAGTTCGACAGAGGTATTTTCGATTCTTTTTGGTCATATGAAGAGCGCCGAAATTTTGAAATCCCCGGTTCTTGATTTCTGGGACGACTACAGGAAATTTGTGTGGCCGGCTACGAACAGGTCGAAGATGTTGCTAGATGGACTGCTAACACACGTGAATGGCGACATAGGTGTATTAAATTCGATAATTCAGGAAGCAAAGCAGGTCAAACAGACGAACGCCGATGCTATTGCTGTGGAGACGTTGCTGGTAAGCCGAGAAAAACTTCATAAATTATGAACCAGGTTCCGTAAAATGAATTTTCGCGAATGGCTTGAGACGATTTCGTTGCGATTACTGTTGGATTTGAACTCGTTCTACTTCACTTTGTTGGGGTTTGATTGCTTGCTTCAGCGTAGTTATTACATTTTGACCAACCTCTTTGCTTAGTTAAAACTTGTTGCTATATTCATTTTCTTTCATATTCTATAATACAAAATAGTGATAAAATATTGCGCTTTTTAGACTGCAAAGTATTATAATACTATCGAAAAATTCTTAACGCGAAAGTTTCGCCGAGGTATTTGGACAGATGAACTTGTGCTTTCCGTCCTTGGTGGAACGGTATACTTGGTGTCAATTTCGTCAAGCTCTGATCTTCGTGCAGGCAAATCATGTCATACTGAGGAATGGCAACATTGTCTAATTAGTATCACCTGAAACTTTGAAGTGCAGGCTCTACTGATGAAAGATCTATTGGAAAATGTTCAAGTCCGCAGATGCTGACCCTCACCCACAGCAGATTGAGTCAGCAGTGGATCAAAACTAGCTTCAGGAATGTTCAAGCCTGCTAATTGTCTTGTTTTTCAGCTGTACAGAATACATCCTCAATGCAGACTGCGCTTTTTCAATTGCTGTACTATTGTTTCTTCCGCTTAAGTGACCTGGTATGATATGTAGATAATCTGAAAACTCCTCTATAAAGTTATACTTGTGTGTACCACACTATGACGTGTTGTAAAATTGCACGATGGAGTATCGACGCACGAAGATTCTAGAAGGATCCACGAGTATTGATGTGAAACATAATACAGAAAGACAATGATGGTAAATTGCAAAGTGGTGATGCCTCCAATCTAATGTATACTTTCTGTTGTCGCACATATACAAATTTGTTAATTTAGAAATTTACTCGATAACGAGATCAGTTAGTACATCAATGAAGATGGGTAGTCTATCCAACATTTAGCCCGCCTGTCTTTATTCTGAGGGATGGCTAGGTTGCGCCATTGATTCTCTACAGTACGTAAATTACAAATGATCATTGAATTCGCTTGAGTGCGAATATAGCCAGCTCAAGCAAACGTAAACATAATCTAAATCAGTAGTTGCACAAACCCGTAATAGCAGATTGTAAGAGATTGCGCGGCCGTAGACTTTAGACAAATTTACCACAAACTTTTTAAAACTTGGCTTTGTCACATATGATGGCTGTATGAACTCCGATTATCCCTTTATTGATATACCACGACAGAAAAGTCGCTGACTCTTTCTTCATTCAGCAGACAAAACAACTTAAACTTTATAGTAAATTACAAATACTCATGCTCGAATCCGTCACATCTGTGCGCTTACAATAAAAATTGAGACTTCCATCCTCTTTTCGAAGATTCAAGTGAATGAGCTGGTCGAAGAATAGAATACAGTCGTGATCATTTTCTAGAATAATCTCTTCAATAATAGCGCATCTCACTGATTTATGAAATTTATCACCCAGGAAAGAGGTGATGGGGACATATAACGCGTAGGTTGGTGTGCGACGGAGTATGTCAAAATGCCGGACTCTTCGACTGACTACCAACAATCCACTAGAATCGACATCATGAAGTTTGCACCTCATTTTTCAACTGGCCTCTAAACCCTGAAGACGAATATTATCGAAGAGCTTATTTCGACTCTTCTATCTTTGAAACTCACTCATCATTAGACTCGCTGCTGCGTTGGCACTGGAGCTTTGACAAGGCCAGCATGATCATTTAAAACGCTTTCTCTTGCTCTTTTTAAAATTTTCATGTTGTTGTTTCTTTCATCAATTCAGTCAACGGTAATGCAAGTTTGACAAAGTCTGCGATGAATTTCCTGTAGTGTCCACCAGCTCAGAGAAGTCTGTAATTCTTTGCGATCCGTTACTTATGATCATCTCTCTTGGCTTAGATTCTTGTTTACCTCAACGTAAAATCCTGTTTCTGATATTTCGTGTCCAAGGACGCCAACTTTTTCCACGCCAAAGTCACATTTTGTGGGCTTGCGTACGACCTCCCACTCAAAGAACTCGACAATTTTTGAAAGTGTTCATCCCAGATCTTCGAGAAGATGCAGATATATTCATGTGCACGACCACATAGTCAAACCTGTCAAATGTCGAAAACACATCTCATCATACGTGACCATACAATAAGCATTCCTGTTAAGCCCATCGGCGATAACCCCGATCGATCTTAGTAAACACTTAACAGCCGTGCATCTGATTAGATAAATCTTCGACGCTGGGAAGTGGAATTTGTGGGGGGGGGGTTGTGAATTGAAATTTCGAAAGTCTAGCACCGATCAAATTGGTGAATCTGCATTAACGATCTTCAACTATGAGGCTTAAGACAGCGTACGTCCTTCTTCGTCTCGCTTTAATACTCTTAAGATATTTGATACCCAGTCATTGAGCGATAGTTTTTCTCTAATTTTTTACAAACTAATACAATGACGCTTGCTCTACCAGAGAGGATTTTAATGGCGAAGTGCCGGTTTTTGCGTCAGACTTCATAACTAAAGCGAGTTAAACAGCACGCTTTAGTGTGTCCGGAATATCGGTTGAAAATACATTTTTACTTTACCAAAAGCTTGTTGAAGGGGCACTTCGGATTCTACAGTGATCGTAATCATCCATGCTTGCATCTTATAAACTGTCTCTCCAGTATCGTCTTATTCTTGATCAAAACACTGAGAAGTTCCGTCGACTTCCAGTCTATGGTTGGATCAAGCTGTTATATTTTGATTTTCTTAAAATAACAACATGTTACTTTCTGCCAGATCCGATTCGGTCGTAAACACATCTTTAATACACACCCGTTTAGCTGCATCTTCTCGTCCACCTATACTCTCTTCACCATCATAACGTTCTTGCCAGTTCATGGAACACAAATTAAATTTGTAGCCCCACGATCAATTGAATAAGCACAATCCTCCAGGTCATGATGCCCTTTGGATTCATAAGCTTACTTGACGTCTTCATCGTTTAATCTACTTCGACCCGGGCGCTATGATTCTAATATTAACGTAGATCTGCTTCAATCGGTCTCACATTCGTTGTCGTTTAGGTTCCCGAGCCTTTTTCCTGATTGTGGCCATAGCTGCGCACAGTGAGCAGCATAACGTATCGGTGTACCACATTTATAGCACGCCATGCTTGTCTGCTGCTGTTATTCATTTGAGAACTATTTCTTCGTCGCATGCTCATGTAGTCGATCTCTATACTGCCATTTTCCTGTCGTAATCTGCACGCGGTGTATCTCCGGACAGTATGCTTTTCATCTAAACTTTTCGCAGATATTGATGCATACTATTTTAGAATGACCATCAATTAGCAACACCCCATCTAAATAGTGCTTAACCATTTTGATTGCACTTTTAAGCTATCAGTAGAGGTCGTCTTCTGTCGCTACATTTTCAGAATCCAAAGCATACTAGAATGAAGCTAATTCCAGAAACAGCATACGATTTTGCAAATGTTTGTTTGTTTGTTAGACAGTCGTGCGACCTCAAAACACTAGGCGATGTAAGGAAGCGATTTACAGCTCAACATCAGTATCATGTACACTTGATTGATTGGCCCATCATACTCTGAAATTGCAAACGTTTCCATGCATTTAATTGATCCACACAAGACTACGAAGACATTTCGTGTAGCGAGTTAAATTATAGATTTTGATTTCCTTCATCGTTGCTGTTTTTCTTTAAACCTTGCTAGCAATCAGCGCCAATGAAATGACTTGGACTACTAAGATCTCATAACCTTTCAGATGAGCCTTCGCCAAATCTCCTTGATGATTCTAGCAAAATTGTAAATGCATTCGGCGCTGGACAGTGTTATCCTACTTCAAGTATTCCGAGATAAATATATAATTCACGATAGATGACCGACTATTCTTTGCGATCCATGTCAGCAGCTTTGCACAAGCATATAAATTTACGTCCGCGGCTTCACGGGAAGCAAATCCCAAGTTCTTGCCGGCCGGACGCCACAAACCACGCCCGCCACGGGCGACGGATCTTCTCGTCGAGGATTCGGAGGAAGACGACGACAATTCGGATATTTCTTTCCCAGGATGGGAAGAAGAGGAGGGCGAGATGCGACAACGGCGCGACATGAGCCCTGCTCGAACCTTGCGGATACCTTGTCCATTTTCTGACTCTTGACTTCCGGGGAGGTCTTAGTATTACCAATCGCCTCGACGAGGCACAGGAGCAGCAATCGGAGGCTGCCCACAGCGCGGCTCTCATGCGCTCGTATCCACGTTAGTTCCATCAGCCTCGTGTAAAGTACGGCTTCCACTCGGCGGATCCCGCTACTGAAGCGAAAGACGAGATCACTGATCATTAGGCGTCTACGTAGTCGGCCCCCCCACCACAACACAAGCTGAGCTTGACCAGCAGAAAGATTTTCCGAGCTCGCTGCTTGGTATCTCAGCAAATTCCAGTGGATAAGTACCGCACTCGACTTCGCGCTCAAATAGGAGACGCTCCTAGTCCCGCTATGCGGTTTATTCCTGTGGTTCTCTTCCCTGGCGAACCCGCTGCACATGAAGAGCTTTTTGAGCGATGGGTGCAGCAGCGCCAGAAACTTTCCTCGTTGTCCAACTTGCAGTGGATCCACACGAAAGTGGACGTGCGCGTGGAACGCCATCTTCGATCTGAGTTTTATAATCTCAAGGCGCAACGCCGACTCCTAAGTATTGTTGCCCTGCGACAGATGGAATAATCCATTTCCTCCCGCGATCTCTGTGGATTCTCACACTGGTGAGTCTACAACCACAACAGCTCAGGGTCATCGCTTGAGCTCATCTTGTGACTCTTTGACCTCCCGGGGTACTGCCAAGAAGCGCGGGGCGTACGACAACGCGGAGCGTCTTGATCTCTCTGATCATAAGCGTCTACGACATCTGGGCAGTCTTGCCGAAGTGGCACCTCAAACTCCCACAGGTTCTCGGAGTTTGGGTATTCCCGCCACCTTACAAGATATTGGTTTGACCCCGTCGACGACGTCGACCCACAAAACGTTCCACGTGATAGTGGACGCCATCATTCTCATCGAGAAGAGTCCGCGGCGGACGATGACGACTTGGTCGATTGCCATCCGGTGACTCGCGATGCACTTTGAGCTCTGGAGGACAAAGTCAGTCCTCATCGGCACTTATAACACAGTTGTCCAGGCCCCACTGAGCGTATGCACAGACACAATTTAACAATATTTTCGTCCACAGTCGTGCGGAGCACGGGATATAAAGAGAACCACATCGTCCATTTCAGAGCAGTGCTCGAGTGAATACGCTGTATACTGATGCAGACAAGTGCACCTTCGGCGCCGAAGAAATCCCGTTATGGGATGCTTTATCGGGAAGCGTGGCCTTCGAGCGCACCCCGCCAAGGTCAAAGTCTTTGTGCACTAGCCGTTTCGAAGAATTAGATAGACTTGCGCAAGTGGCTTGGCCTCGCCAAGTACTTGCACTAGTAAAGCGAGAATTGTGCAGAAATGGCACGGCCATTGACGGATTGTCTTACGGAAGATGAGGAATGGTGTTGGGACACTGAGAATGGGGAGGTTTTTGACGGGGTCAAAGACAGCCTCCATCATGCACCAATAGTGGTATTGCCAAACCCCGATCGACCTTTCAGAGTCATCTGTGACGCTTCCGACTTAGCCGTCGGCTGTGCACTGCTGCAAAAAACGTCGAGGAGCGAGATCGGGTGATCGCGTTCGACTCTCGCTTGCTTAAGGCTGCAGAGAAAAATTACCAACTCCACGACAAGGAATTACTTGCGATGAGTATGCATTTGTCGAGTTCAGGGTGTACTTGTTAGACTCAAAGCCGTTTGTGATCTCCACAGATCATGCGTCACTACGCACTGTGACTCAGTCGCCTCATATCTCACAGGGATGGCCAAGTGGCTCACCTTTACCTTTTGGTGACGTCGTCAGTGACAGATTTTATCCGCGCCGCGTACGCGGGTGGTGATATTTGCGCAGAGTTGCTGCAGGCTCTCGGGAGCAAGAAGTTTTGAAGTTCGTGCAAAGTTGGCGGTGGGATTGCGCGTACGGTTACACCGATATTCGTTTAATGACGGATTGCTGTATTATAGCACCGATGTGACGGATACGCCACGAATTGTGGTTCCTCACGGTTAGGACTTGAAAAACCTTAACTTATCCACTATGATGCACACGATGCCCCACTTAATGGTCATCTCGGTCGTGAGAAGACGTACAGCTCTGTGAGTTGCCATTACTGGTGGTACAAATGGACGAGCACATATGTGCACACGTGTAAGACGTGACACGGGAAATCCCCTCGCCAAATGCGGCGGCGCCGCTGGCCAGTTTACCGATACCCTCCGGGTGTTTGCAGTCGATGAGTATGAAATTTGTGTCCGGCCTGCCGAAGGACTCGGCGGGCAACACGGGTGTGGTGACCTTTGTGGACCGTTTGAGCAAGATGACTGATCTTGATGTGGTGCCGGACACCATCGACGGTGTAGGTAAAGCGATGCTGTTTGCGGATCATGTCTAACGACAACATGGACCCCCGGAGTCAATTGTTTCTGACAAAGACCCACGTTTCACTGAAAAGGTTTGGTCTACAATCTTCATGATGCTGGGAACCAAGTTGACTATGTCAATAGCGGACCATCCGCTGACGATGGTCAAACTGAGTGCGTAAATCGCGTCGTTAAAAATGTCCTTCGCAGCGTCTGTGCTGAGACACCGATGCGCTTGACCGCCATGCTGCTTCTTGTGAAGTTCGCACTAAACAATGTAGGGCATGCGTCTACCGGCTACACGCCGTTCTACGTGAACGAGCTCGTTCTTTTTCGCGTTCCGCTAACGTCGCCATCCCATGGTTCAGGGCTTGGTGAGGGAGGAAGAGCCGAGTGGCTAGCTGATGTCAAACCTCTCACTTTGCTTAAAAAAGTCGGTGACTTTCTGTCTATCAGACTAAGGAGGTTCGCGATGCAATGGCTGAAAGCCAAGACATGCAGAAGGATATACAGACGGAAGAGATAGTGTAAATGTTATAAACTTTGAGGTCGGAGACCTGGTAGTATTAAATATTTTAAAGCTTCATACACATGCAATTTCTACTGTCAGTAAGACAGCGCTCTGTCCACAGTTTATCGGACCTTTTAAGGTTGTGGTGAAGCGTAGCCTTTCGTATACGCTAAAACTTCCGAAACGGATGCGCACCCACCCGGTGTTTTATATGCACTTGCTCAAGCCGTACCGGGATCCGGTGCAAGTAAATGCGGAAGCGTTGGCGCTGGAGCGGCGCCCACAGGTGCTCGACCACCCAGAAGCTACACCAGCAACTGGTTTTGAGCACGGAGTGCAACGATCTTCATCTCCAACGGCGTTAAGCGCTCCATCTTCGCATGAAGCGACTTATTCGTCTGCCCAACGGCTACGAGCCACTCAAACAGAGCACGAGAGCTCTCGCTGTTTTAATCAGATTATTTATTAAATTCAAAAATAAACACCATATTCAAAAAATTTTAAATTATATAAAAATTTAAATTTAAAAAAAATATAAGTAAAAAGTCTCTACCAATTAAGTTATAAGCAAAGTTTTATTTTTTTATAATTTTAGTATATATTAAGGTCTTCCGCGCAGCGGTTTGCGACCCCAGCATGACGCTCAGCGGAGTCTCGATCTCGATGGACCTCGTTTTAAGAGCTCGAAAATCATTGCGAGTCACTGGACGACGATTGGCCCCGTCGTTATCGTCCGCCACCGACTCTTCTCATCGAGTATGGTGGTGTCCACTATCACGTGAAATGTCTTGTGAGTCGTCGTCGTCGCCAGGGTAAAACCCAGTATCTTGTGAAGTGGCGGGGATACCCCGATTCCGAGAACTTGTGG